TGTTGGCACCAGGGACCCCCTGCTGGCTCATGCTCCGCTTGTCGGCCACCAGGACTCCCAGGTCCCTCTCAGCAGAGCTGCTTCCCAGCAGGTCAGCCCCCAGCCTGTACTGGTGCCTGGGGTTCAACCTCCCCAGGTGCAGCACTCGACACTTGCCCTTGTTGAACTTCATCATGTTCCTCTCCACGTGTGCGTGCCCCCATGTACGTGTCCTACACCTATGCACAGACCTCCCCCCCCACCATGCACTCACATTGCACCCCCAAAAGAGCTGTACCCGAACACCAAGGGACATCCAGAGCTGGCAAATGCCACCAGAGCAGGGGACATGGCCCTCACCAGGCATGGGGATGCCAGGCTGAGGCCACCAGCTCTGCCACCATGACCATGAATTTTTAAGTCTTTTCCCCTCATTTTTCAGTCTTTTCTCCCCATTTTGGGGGTTGTTACCCCCCCCTTCCCCATTTTGGGGTCTTTTCCCCCCACTCTTGGCTCCTTGCAAACGTGGGCATCTGGGCCAGATGCTGGGGACAGGGAGGGCACTGGGGATGGTGGCACCAATGTTGCTCCTGTTGCCCCCTCCCCTCTCACCACAGCTACACAAGGAAAACTGAGGCACAGGCACTGGGTTTGAAGTGGACTGGTATGGCTTGTGCCCTGTTTTTGCAGAGTTTCTCCCCAAACCACCCCTCAGAGGGTGCTAAGGGACATGCCCAAGGCTATGCAGGCCATCGGTGGCGGAGAGCAGCCACAGCCAGAGCTGAGCCAAAAATACAATGAGCAGCCAAAACCCAAGGGCTCCTCCCCTCAGAAAAGGCAAATGAGTGAAAAAAAAAAACCTCTTTGCAAGAGGGAAACAGGGCACTGAACCCCAGTACTGCCAGGTTGGCAGGGATAGGAAAGCCAGTGGAAAAAATCCCTCCGGATCCCAGGAAACCCCCAGCTGTGGGATGCGCGGAGCACAACCTTTCTATTAGACACTGGAGAATCCCCACCCCAGCTGTACCCGCTGCCTGCAACTGCCCGTAACTCCGCAGTAGCAGCCTGCCATCGCCCACAAATCACCACCAGTTCCAATTAATGAAACCACATCAAGATGCTCGGCCTCATCCTGCTGCAGTGCCCATGGCACGGCCCCAGCTCATGACCTGGCCTGGCGGATTATCCAAAAAGTCCCTTTTTTCACCCCAAAAAAACCATGGCAGGAATCTCTGCCCACCCTTGGGGTGATGGGGTGGGCTCCCTCCCCGCTCAGCCTCCCCTAAAAGCAGATGTCCATGGGATGGTGGAGACGCGGTCCCGGTGCCCTGACACCACGGTGATGGGCCTCAGATGAAATCCATTGTGATACGAGACTTGCAAGAGGAAAAAAAGGGGTGCCCGTGGCGTTGGGGTGCTCTGCAGGAGGGGGTCACCCTTATCCCGGGGGGGTCTAAGGCGCCTGTGAAGGAGGAACGGGGTTAAGAAAGAGAAGTGGGGTTGCTCTGCGCCCAGATGGGGAAGAGATTAAAAATAATCGCCGGCTTTGCTCACCAGCGGCCGCGAGCTTCCCCCGGCACGCGCCGGGGCGGCTTTGGCTCCTCCAGCTCTTTTGCTTTCAAACTACCTCATGCAAGCCCTTCCCTGGTGAAATCAGCTTTAATTAACGCCCTGATATGACTGTGAAGGGGGTTTCTGCAAGCTTGCTAAGGTGTGAAGATATTTCGGCTGCTGCCGCCCTCGAATAGGATATAGGGGACGGCTTCGTCCCTTGGAAACCTTCTTCCGTGGTGTGTCCTGCCCTGGGAGGACGCCATGGTGGGGACATCTTGGTGGCTTGATGGCAAAGCTGGGACGGCGGAGATGGAAGTGAAAGCTGCAGCTCAGCAGATTTGAAAGGGGATGAAAGAAGGATGCTCCCGCCCTGCATGTCACTTGGCCGAAGCCACAACGTCCCTGGCCCCAAAGACCTCTGGGCTGGTCCCAAAACATCTTTGAGTGAAAGCCCTTGGGCATGTCCCACCTGCCCCGGGGTGGCTGTGGCCCAAAGCTTGGGTGTTTTAAGGGAAATCTCCATTTACTGAAGCCTGAAGGTGTAATGATGTGGCCAAATTGGTCCAGAGTGGTATTTTTGGGTGCTTAACGTGGACCTGGGGGGGACAGGGCGCAGGGACATCCCTCCAGCGATGCCGGGTGGCTCTGCCACCCACGTACTCTGTCCTCGGGTGAATCTCCCCATGCTTTGGGGCCCCATCTCTAAAATAAATCAACATCTCCGGGATGCTCTGAGCAACCTGGCTGGCAGCACTGAGGCTCTGGCGGGGCTTGTAGAAACCCATCCATGTATACACACAAACATATAGGCACCTATACAGCCCTGTGTTCACCCACGTGTACACACGTGTGCATAAACATACCTATACAAGCCTATACACCTTTCTGTATGGATATACCTCTACCCATATATACCTCTATCCATATATACCTCTATCCATTATACCTCCCTCTTTCTATACCTCTCTATATAAACAGACCTCGATACATACATATATCTCTATACATATGTATAGAAACATTAACGGTTGGACTTGATGATCTTAGAGGTCTTTTCCAACCTAAATGAGTCTATGATTCGGCGATATCTCCGGGATGCTCTGAGCAACCTGGCTGGCAGCACTGAGGCTCTGGCGGGGCTTGTAGAAACCCATCCATGTATACACACAAACATATAGGCACCTATACAGCCCTGTGTTCACCCACGTGTACACACGTGTGCATAAACATACCTATACAAGCCTATACACCTTTCTGTATGGATATACCTCTACCCATATATACCTCTATCCATATATACCTCTATCCATTATACCTCCCTCTTTCTATACCTCTCTATATAAACAGACCTCGATACATACATATATCTCTATACATATGTATAGAAACATTAACGGTTGGACTTGATGATCTTAGAGGTCTTTTCCAACCTAAATGAGTCTATGATTCTGCGATATATATGGCTCTACACACATGTATACACACGTACATTTCTCTATACCTATATATAGAAATACATGTCTCCATTCACACACACATATATACAAACTCCTACACCTATATACACAAAGACGTGTCTCTGAGCACATGGACTCACACACGTGTATATACATAACTCCATCCATATCTATAATATATATACACAAATGTATTTATACTTCTGTACACACACCTACGCAGGCATGCTCATATATACAAATCTCTTTATACCTCTCTATGTATATATGTACAAATACATATAGATATGTATAAAAAGGCAGAGGCCAGGCTCCCGGCACCCGCCAGTGGAGATGCTGGGGAAAACCAAGTCCCTCGGGCAGATTTGAGGACACCCCGCGTGCGACACCATCTCCGGCACGGGGCTGATCCCTATGGATGCCCTGGGAGATGCAGGAGCATCCCGGGCGCACCCCAGGTCGTGGGAGCAGAGGGACCAGGGCGAATCCACCCCGCTGAGCTTCGCACCGGCCCTGTCCTGGGGATCTCCGTGTGATTTTAAGCCCTGCTCCATGGTAAAAGCTGCTAAACCTGCCTAAAAGCAAAGTCCAGCAGCTACCGTTTGGGGTGGCTTCGGGACCACCCCAAAGCCCAAGCGAAGCACCGATGCTCTCCGGGTCGGACCCAATGCTCTCCGGATCGGACCCAATGCTCCCCAGATCAGACCCCAACCTCTCCAGTTCTGCCTCATCCTGCCCAGTTTGATCTGAGTCTGCTCGGGTCCAGTCCCACCCAGTTTGGTCTGAGCCTCTCAGGTCTGATCCTGCCCAGCCTGGCCCCATCCTGCCCAGCTCAATCCGACCCACTCAGCTCTCATCCTTCCCAATTTGGTCTGGCCCTTAGGGTCTCATCCTGACTCGGTTTTGCCCACACACTGGGGCCCGATCCTGCCTGGTCCAGTCTGATTCTTTTGGGTCTGATCCTGCCCGGTTTAGAGTCACCCACTCAGGTCCCATCCTGCCCAGTTCGATCTGACCCACTCAGGTCCCATCCTGCCCAGTTCGATCTGACCCACTCGGGTCCCATCCTTCCCAGTTTGGTCTGGCGCTCGGGGTCTCATCCTGACCCGGTTTTGTCTGACACACTGGGGCCCGATCCTGCCCAGTCTGACCCCCTCCTGCCCAGTCCAGTCCGACCCTTTGGGGTCTGATCCTGCCCAGTCCAGTCTGATCCTTTTGGGTCCCATCCTGCCCGATTCAGAGTGACCCACCTGGGTCCCATCCTGCTCGGCTCAGATTCACCCGCTCA